CCAACAGATGCACATCCTGTTCGACTGACGGATATGTATAAATATCAAATATCCCACACGGGTATATTTCCTTTTGGCGATTGAATACCAAAAAACAAAACAAAAAAATAAATAACAAAAACCAAAAACAACGAAAATAACAAAAATAACAAAAACAATAATACGACGACCAAGTGTGTCAATAGTAAACAGACACAACTTTCCCGGCGTTATGTACAATACCTGGGTCAGGCGCGCCTCGCTCACGCCCCCTGGCCCCACCGCCTCCCCCGCGACCACCGCCGTCACCACCTGCGGCAATAGAAGGCGGCCCTCCCACGCCGGCACCGCCGGGGGCACCGCCGTTGTTGTTGTTGTCGGTGTCATCCATAACCTCGTCCTCATCCGCCACGCCCTGTACACGTAGCACGGATGAACGAAAAAGAGAGGGTGGCCATAAGACCCTAAGGAGAGCGATCAAGGAAGAAAAACATACGGTATCTTCGAGGCAGAGCAACCGGAGTACGGGGGGGGGAGGGGGGGGGTGAGCGCGTGATTACGATTGGCACGTTTCACCACAGCGTGTCCATTTCAACGGGTTCTAGCCTTTGATGAACTGAGAACCGAGTTTTGTGTTTCGAGTATTTTGTTGCGGCTTTGGTTTGTCTTGTGGTGCTTCTTCGGCGCTTGTTCAGCGTCAACCTTGTACCACGATATGTACTTTGTCATGGCCGTGGCAAGCGATGATGACTGTCTCTAATGTATACCCGTACTTTCTCTTATATTGATCATCCCCTTCTTCGACATTTGACTTCATGTCTTAGGGTGGGCATGTATGTACATTTGTTGCGTGTTTATGAAAAATCGGGATTTGCGTAGAAGGAAAACCTATCGCTGCTTGAGACATCACAGCTGAGATGAGACACAATACATACGGATCACCACAGACATGCATTAACAAAATGCCCGTGACGAGCGATGTTGGTTCTCCTCTCTCATCAGTATTTCCTTTCTCCTACAGGGCATTCTTCCAGAGTGGGCTCATGCGAGTTCATCATCATCAAGGAGTGTAATGCAAGATGAAATACAGCAGGCAGGCAAGACCAAATCTCAGCTGATGACGGGGTGTAATGCAAGATGAAACAGAGCAGTT